CAAAGGCCTTTTTGATTTTTGGCTTGTTTTTTGGAGTATTTGGACTTTTGTGAACTTTTGGAATTCCTTTTGGAATGAAACTTTTGGTCCCTCTCTGTGTTATACAAGTTTCTAATTTAATTGTTAAGCTTTGCAGGTGCTACAGAATGCCGACGAACTCTTTGAACGACCTGAGTTCTCAGCTGCTGCCGATATCGGATGGCCAGATTGCTTCAACAGCGGTGTTTTTGTCTACGTACCTAGCATGGAGACCTACCGTAAGTCATTTGAAGTGGTGTTTATAAACGCAAATTTACTAAATAAAGCTGATTCACATGAAAGTGTGCCGGGACTTTAAACTCGGCACTCTCATGGTAAGCCATGCCCTGGGTTTCTGTATAGTATTGTACGAAAAAGAATGACGTGACAGAATGTTGCAGAAGAGATTACTGGTTAGATACTGGATGTTAAAAGTTTTTGGTGAGTGTGATTATGCACGTATCAAACCGCCTTGTCGATCTCGAATAGATAGAATTGAGAACCTATGCCACTCCTGAGGATACGCCACGCTTTACTCTTTCCTCTAAATGAAATCGCAACAGGCTTCAAAAGGGTCATGGCTCTTTTGGAAGTGCTCTGAGGCAGGATTGTTCTTTCTTCTGAGGTAGAAGGTGCCAAGATTTGGATATTGAAGAAAAGGAGATCTGCCAGTTATGAAAAGTAGTCAGGCCGCTGAAGCATCAAGAAGAGGCGCTTGCGCAGTGAAGGGCGCGCCCGTAGCACCCTAGCAAAGGTGGTCTCCGTTAGCCGCCTCTTTCGTGGAGAGCTCCGTCCCCTGGTTGTTGGATGATATAACTTGCTGCTGACTGGGACTTCATACTCATAGTTCTCATTTCATTTTGGTAAAAGTACATGTTTTTATCCAATCGGCCGTATCTTTTAGTTTCTATGTGATGCGTTATTGAAGGAAGTGTGATGTTTGCTGACACAATGCCGACTTTCGAGGATAACACGGTCCAAACGAATTCTGTCCTAGTCGTTAACTCATCCAAAGCAACAAACGAGCTGGAACCACTTCGCTGGTTATAGGCCGTTTCCTCGATATCTTCGTTATCACTTTAACATTTACCATCCTCACTTGTATTTCCAGCGGCGTCCAATTTTGCCGTACCATCTGCCCTTAAAGGCAAACTCTTGGATTGAAC